CTCTGCCCTTGAAGAAAAGACATCTGCCCAAGATGAAGAAACTTCCTCTCCAGAAGATGAGGGGACAATCTCCAAAGAGGCTGACTGCATCACCACTGATGAGTACTAGCCACTGCCTGAATCCTGAAAGGAGCATTTTCTGAGACCGAGGAATCGTGACTGAGTGGATCCCTCATGAAAGGAAAACCATGTGGGTCCCACCACTGAAGAGAGACTGCTCTACAATCCAGTGCCCACTGGTATCAAACCAGGACTCACCCTGTATGCAGTTCCCTGCAATAGCAGCCTGAGATCTACTTTTTACTTCTTTATAACAAAGGAGATCTTATATCTGCTGTGCACCCTTACAAACCTGCACGGGAGGCGAAGGTGTGAGGATTGAAGGATTATAGATGAAGTGGAGATGTGAGCCTAAACCAGAATAAAGTAATACATAGCATGTTGGATGACAACACTGGAAGTTCTCAGGAAGTAAAAAAATGGCATGGGGTTCAGACTCCAACTGATGGAGGAGCTCCTAGGACAACGTCTTTCCTTCGGGCACCTTGGCAGAGGAACCCCTCAGATGAAAACTGGCACAGGGGAAACAACCCAGAGCTTCCTCCCCAGCTCCTCCAGTTGCAACAGAGGAAGATTTTGTCCGTCTTTGGCTTCACCAAAACTAGCATGGTGATATCCCACATCCCAAAGCAACGGAGGAATGCGCTTCTTTTGACAGCAACACACAGGGAACCAGCAGTCAGTCATGGGGAATAAAGGACGCCTGGAAACAAGAAGCAATCCTGGACTACAATAGACACAAATACAGCTTGGATAACTTGGAGAGGATGTTGGCAACTCAAGTTGTTGAAGGAAAACTAACTGCTGGCTTTTTTTCTCCAATCTCCTGGATGTCTTGGGATACGATGCCTTTGTCCCGCCGGAAACAACTTCACTGAAGTGGGGAGTCCTCTACAACCTACAAATGAAGAGTGATCCTGGAAGAGCTGGGGCACATGCTCATGACCTCAACAGCTGCAAGACACCCTTGTCCCTGATTCTCAGCCACTTCTGCCATTGATCCCAAGATACAGTAGTCTGAACCAGAGTGTGACCCACACCCCACCAAAAAAATGAGGAGGTGCAAAAGGCGCACCTCCAGGATTGGAACAGCAGCCCCTTGCACCAAGTGTACAGGGTGGGCCATTTATATGGATACACCGTAATAAAATGGGAATGGTTGGTGATATTAAAGTCCTGTTTGTGGCACATAAGTATTTGTGAGGGGGCAAACTCCTCAAGATGGGTGGTGACCATTTAGAAGTCGGCCGTTGAAACCAAGCACACCATTGTTTTTCTTGTGACATTACCAATAAGTTTGTCACATGGCCCTCTTCCTATTTAAAAAAACAAAACAAAAGTTGTATCCAAGATGGCCGACTTCTAAATGGCCACCAATTTTATAGCTTTTTGTAAACTTAAACAAGGGGTGCCCATTTTTGGCCACGAGCACGCTGAGAGGGAGTTTTTATGTTTTTGCTCTCCCTGCACAAAAATAACAATGCATTATAATCAATTACATGTCCCAGACTCTACTATTAATAATACAAGAAATTCCAGTAGCACTGAAAATATATAAAATTGTGAGATTTGAGGTTGTCTTCCAGCTAGTGCAGTGGACAAACTGGTGTTTAAAGGGTTAAAAATGTGAAAAGTAATAACTATTTTATATTTATGAAAAGAACTGAAGTTGGTTAAAAACGTTATGCAGACAGAATGGCAAAAAACTATGATAAAACCAAAATAATAAAAATTACAGACCTAATCTGTTGGTGGCCACGTTTGGCCACAAAAGCTGCAAGGTTAGGGATTTTGAACAAGCCCAGAGGGTTAATACATAATTGTGTTTTGTTTTTGTTTTTTTTTGTTTTTTTTTTCATAAATCCGCAAGCAGCAATCAACCATTCAGTCCTGAGCATAACATAAAACTACTTCAGCTCACTGTCAAAAGTGTATAGATATTTATTGCAAAATATTAGCATATTAAATGAAATTATATCTGTTACTGGAGACTTTTCCAGTGTGTTAGGGTGAGCTATCGTATCCAACATGAAGTGCAACTTTTCCAGGAAAGTGCTAAATGAACAGTAACGGGGCTGCAGCTCCATCTGGTGGCAGGGGACTGCATAAGATTTAAGACGCAACAACTTTCTGACAATGGCCAACAATTAAAATGTGGAAAATTGGATTAAACGACTAGTACTGACTAGTGACGATTAGTTGTGTAGTAGACTAATTACGCACACTTCTAATTTGTATCCATGAATTTCATTCAGCTCACTGCTAAATATGGAATGAAGAAAAGTTCTGCAGGCTGAGTGATTTGTGTAATTACAACTGAAATAACATTTGTCCCTAAGCAGCTCTATAGGCAAACTTTTATATTTATCATTGAACACTACTGGGTTGTTCAGTGTTTACTGGGGAAAAAACAAGCATTTGGAATAAATTCCCCTCATCAATAAATTAAAGATTAATAAATTATAATTTTCATTACAAATTAAGTTTTGTTTTTTGTTTTTTTTCTCTCCTATTCTTCCAGTTCAGTGTCTGATTCAAAGTGAAGTGTTAGAGTTATGGCTATGAAAATGATTGATTTTTGCAGTGACCTTTGAGAGAATAACTTTTTATCTCATTTGATTGTTGTTCTGGTTTAGTTGGTCTTGCTTTACTGTAGTTGACCAGTCACGGTTCCCTGAAATGAATGTTTTATCTAACTGTGCTCTTTCTCCCTGCCAGTTGCTGAGCATGTCAGAGGAACAAATTGATGATGGATTCACTTTACCCCCTGAACCGGTGACAGACGATGGAGAGATGACCAGACTGATGTTGCAGCACTGTGTGATGCCAACATACCAGTTCATCATCCAAGTAGCTCCTGATCAGCCTGTGGTAACTCATCAATGTACTTCATGTTTTCAGGGGTCAGTGTTCAGCCTGTCAGTCAAAAAGAGAGGGAACCTCAGTCTGGATTACTCATCTGATTTGAGGCTCACTACTTATTTATGTTTTTTGTTTGTTTGTTTGTTTTTTAAGTGCAACAGTGCACACATCTGCAGGTCTATAGCTAAGATTAGAATTTTCAGTTGAGTTCAGAACTCTGCTCATGCTGAAATGCAGCAGTGTGCTTGTTGACATGGTGACTCTGGTCACTTTTG